ACCTGTATGCAAAGAATTATTCCAATAGTTATAAGAAAGCAAGTGCATTATTAGCTGACTCCTATGCAAACTACAGCAGCTTCTGAAAGGTGAGAAGATATTGGCAAGCCAAGTATAGTCCTAGTCAAGGAACTGTCATTAAATATGGTATAAAGTGGCTATTGCTTAAGGGAAAGGGACAGGTTTGGGATTTTTTACAATCAGTATTTGAATAGATTAAGGGAGGGCAATATTTTGAGGGGGACATGCCAAGATTTTGGAAAGTGGTCAAGGACCACACTTTTCTGTGGAGGGGGAACAGGGTCTAGGATGCAGGATGGGTTGCAGAAGGACGCAGTAGGTGCAGGAGATGGTGTGAGGTCTGAGAGGGCGTTTGGGTGAAGGAGAAGATTGTGATCTGGGTCAGGAGATTAGGGTGTAGGGTCAGGGAGGGAGCATGGATGCAGGACAGGACACTGGCCTGGGGAAGAGGTGTAGGAGGGAATACAGAGTCTGGGAGGGAGTTTTGACTGGAGGGAGGGGAGTGCAGAGGGTTTGGATGGTGACCTGGGGGAGAGAGTCAGGGTGCGGAAGGGGCAGGAGTGACAGAGGCAGGCTCTGGCTGGGAGGCACTTACCTAAACAGCTCTCAGACAGAAGCCCTGCAGCACCCCCAAGGCAGGCTGGGTTTCCTGTCTGAAGCAGTCCAAGACCACTTGAAACTTCAGGCTGTTCCCTCCATCTGGCTCTCAGCTCAGGGAAGGGGGAGAAGCTTTCACTGCCTTCATCCCGCAGGCCAACCTCTCGGTTCCTATTGGCTGGTTGTTTCCGGCCTTTAGGAGCTGAGGGTATGTCTATACTACCCCGCTAGTTCGAACTAGCGGGGTAATGTAGGCATACCGCACTTGCAAATGAAGCCCGGGAAATTTAAATCCTGGGCTTCATTTGCAAGTGCGGTATGCCTACATTACCCCGCTAGTTCGAACTAGCGGGGTAATGTAGGCATACCGCACTTGCAAATGAAGCCCGGGAAATTTAAATCCTGGGCTTCATTTGCAAGTGCGGTATGCCTACATTACCCCGCTAGTTCGAACTAGCGGGGTAATGTAGGCATACCGCACTTGCAAATGAAGCCCGGGAAATTTAAATCCTGGGCTTCATTTGCAAGTGCGGTATGCCTACATTACCCCGCTAGTTCGAACTAGCGGGGTAATGTAGGCATACCGCACTTGCAAATGAAGCCCGGGAAATTTAAATCCTGGGCTTCATTTGCAAGTGCGGTATGCCTACATTACCCTCCTAGTTCGAATTAGGAGGGTAGTGTAGAAATACCCTGAGAGATTAGCTGCAGTCAGTTCTATTGGCCAGTTGTTTCCGGCCAATAGGAACTGAGGACTGGGCGGGAGGCAGGGAGATCACACAAAACCTTCCCCTCACTCCAGAGCAGACCTGTGCTTAAAATAGTGGCTGCTGCATGCCTGAGGGTCCTGGCAGCGCAATCTATGGGCTGGAGACGTATCTTGCCCACCCCTGGAATAGAATCTAACGTTCCATGTCTAGTCTGCTAATAGTGGTTTAACCTTCCTCCCATCAAAGAGCCTGAAGGGTTTACATTGTATGCTTTCAACTCACTTCTGGCCAGGGAGGCAGGACTGTATCACTTCATACTAGGGAAGTTAGTGGCTAGTTGACAAACTGTTTAACTGATAAGTGATATCAGCTAAAGGTCCCAGTTAACCACAACACCATCACCCCATATCTGCTCTCCATTTTAAACTTGGACTGGCAGGCTGGCTTCGTTCCAGTCCACTGGTCCGAGTTCTAAATGAACTTCACACAGGCGAGCCACCCACCACCCCATGCTGCTGACTCTGATACAGAAGCAAAAGCATGGAGCAGCAGTAACCCCTGTTTGTGGGGTGCCTTAGGTGCTTCGCAGAAAGGGACTGTTGCCACAGATCAGCCTCTGTCTGTGGCAGGCTCGGGCATCCTCTTTCTGCAGGGACCCCAGCCCCCAAGAGACTGCAGCTGCCGCCACCCGTGCTGCTGCCTCTTTATCAGAAGCAGTAGCACCGGGCAGCATGCATGAACTGGTCTGTGCAGGGAGTTGATTTTTTTAAACCAGCACTCCTCATGGATTACCTCTGCATGCCACACCGCGCTACTGCCTCTGATACAGAGGAAGCAGCATGGAGTAGCAGGGGGCTCCCCAGGAGTGGGGTTGGAAGTGCACTGGCTGCCTGCCTCACCCCCAGGGGGGAGCATTTTAGTAACCAATGTAATCACTAAAAGTTGCTACATGATTACTAAAATAAATGAATTTTAGCATCCCTACTTGATACTAGGCCTCTGACCAAAGGAATAAAGTCGGAGGGTTCCAAATATAATACTGGTCAGCTCTCAGCTGTAAGGAAGTGAAGAACTGAGTGGGAAGAGGGATGTATTGAGGGAGGAAGAAAAAGAGGGCCCAGGTGAACCTCTCAGAACACTTTCTCTGTCACACTCACTGTATTTTGATCTGGTCATTTAACCAGATGGAAAGTTTTGCATTCCTTTCAGCTACAAGAAATCAATGAGATAACAGACATACCACAAAGAAAAATTACCTCAGTTTTACTGTGAACTGCACTCCGGTCTTCAGGACCAATGGCCTTTGAGGATGAGTTGGCATGCAAGGCTGCCTCTCTACCACAAAAGAACTGCAGAGGAAACACAATCATGGACATTTTGAGATATATCATTACAATACTGTTAAAAAGTGATACTTTCGGCACAAAACAGATGACACTGTCTAATTTTATTTACTATAGTATTTTTTACAATTATCAACAATAAATTTGTATAATGTGCACTTTCAGTGCATATATAATTGTTTATTTCCTCACCTTGTTTTTTTAAAGAGAACTAAAAATTAACAGTTTGAAGAAAAAAAAAGCTGCTTCACATAACTTCAAAAATACATAAGCTTGCAACTATACCAGCATCACTACAGATCACAAAATTCTTCAAGTGTTCATACTGTGAAATGTGTCAGGGTCTAGGGCAGTATTTCTCCTCCTACTCATGCAAGCACTCTATGGAAGATTTAATTTTAGGCCTTTTTACCTTGTCTGTTTGTACTGTTTTGATGAAGCAGGAGCTGATTTCTGTCCCTTTCACCTGTGAGTTAGGCTAGGGTGCTTGAACTGAACTCAGGAACAGAGTCTATTTCCAGCTTAGACAATAACCTGTTGTGGGATCTTGGACAAATTGCTTTACTCCTTTAGGCCTCTTCTCCCCACAACTCATCTGTCTAGACCAGGGCTACTCAACTTTGGAAGCCCTGGGGGCCACAGTGATACTTAAAGCACATGCCGAGGGTTGCAACTTAAGTATGGTTACAAATACAAATAGCTTCTTTCACACTAATGGGCATGATACAAGATTAAAGCAAGACAACACAACACGCAGGCCCCATTTAAGACCGTTCTGCTGATATTAATAACATGCAATATTTACCCAACTTCCACTCATATGACAGCACTTTTAATGATCAATAACAGTCCAGAAATTAAACTACTAAAAGGCATATCAACAGGAGACCATTATATTAACTACTTTTTTGTTTTGGCTCCCACCCGTAGGCTGTGTGTTGAGCCCTGTGTAAATCCAAACCACACCGCAGGCTGCAAAAAAACGGGCCGCATGTCGAGAAGCCCTCGTCTAGACTGTAACTACTTCAGGGCAGAAACCCTATGTTAATGAATTTGCACAGTGGAACCCTGATCTTGGATGAGGCCTCTAATTGCTACTAGAATATAAGTAACTGCATGACGAGGCACAGCTATTCTGACTCATCCCGATTGACTCCCACGCAAGGGGATAAGAGATGGACAGTTTCTCCAAGGTATTCATCCTGCATGTCTCTGTCTGTCTGTCTGTGAGCAGACCTCAGGGTGCTCTCACATGGAACAGTTTGCAGGAGTACAGCCTAAAATAAAAAATGAAGTAGGGGGCTAAAGCTTGATTCTGCGTGCACTGAAGACAATAGCAAAACTCCCATGGACTTAAGGATGCAAAATCAGAGACTTACTAGGATTTTCTCTGAAAAATATCCTGTTTATCACCAAGCTCAGTTTGTTTAAGAGTAAAAGAGATCATCAGGCAGGGCACTAACCGCATGCGTGACGTGTTGAACAGGAAGGGTCTCCACCCAGTCACATAGACAGACCAAACAAACATATGCATCTATTACCTCTGAATGAGTTGTTTGAAAAGACTGCATGTCCGGTCTTGCAGGACTTGTTTGTTTTTTGTGATAGGGTCTGGTTCATATGTAAATTTCTGCTCCAATTCTTCAAGCTTTTTAAGCTGCTGACGGACTTGCTGAAGACTCTCGGCAACCATAGTGAACCTTCAATAATAATAATAAATAAAACATGTTACCAAATCCTGGTGCCTAGATACCCTCCACCTTACAGAAGTGCCTAGACACTCTCCAGCTCAGTGATCAGGTAGCAGATTTCTAAGAGTCACTGTCCACAGGAACTTATGAGCCTGTCTCAGTGAAAAAAGACACAACAATGATGTAGGTTTGCCAAGGATTTCTTTTTAATATAGGTAAATATTTAAATCTCCAAAATCTGCCCTCTTTACCTTTCCTTCCCATGTAAGTATGGCAACGTCTTCAAAGTAATAAGGAATGGAAGCATTTCCTCAAATTACTGACATCTATTTCTTGGAGGACATAGTTTTGTGTATTGGAGACAATGCATGCATTATAAAGTTGCTCAAATAAACTGCATTTGGTGCCATAAAAGAGATTTCTATTCTCTCTAGAGTGTATTAGTTCTGCTGCACAGAAAATTATATTTAAGCAATTGTATGTTAACTAGACACATGAAGCTTCAGAGGTAGTTTATATAATATTTAATAAGGAAAACTCTACTTCTCCCCCAATCAGAATCCTCATTCAAATGGCGGCAAATTCAATAGGACTCTCATTATCTTACAGAAGTTACAACAGAACTGACATTATCCAGCTCTGCATATTAACAACTAACCAGTGAACAAAGGTCCAGAAACAAACTCTCTCTCCAACGCCACTAGATGATGATGCAGCCTTACACTCCTCATTCTTTGGATTATCTGGTCTAGCCCCACTCAATTAGATCCGATTCAACAAGGTTCTGCTATAATGCATCCTTGATGGGGAAATGAAGGGTCAATCTACTACATTTATTGGAACAATTACTTCTCAGAGTACTTTAGCATGAACACTGAGGCTCAATTTGGCCCATGGAACATAAAAAAGCAAAGTATACTTCCGGTACAGAAAGTTATATAAGAAAATCAGTCGATGTTTTTTTCAGACTTCCTTGAAAAGAATGATTACAGTACTATACTATATAACTCTTAGGAGCATAGTGAAATGTGCTTGTTGTTTTTCTTGTGGCTAAAAAATGATTTATTCTAATAACAATAAATAGACTGTGCTGGCTCACAATCTCTATGCATGCCCATTTACAAATATATTTGCTCATCAGATATTTCAAATCCCCTGGGGTCAGTTTAGCTGTGATATAGAGACTTACCAGTTTTGTAGCTGGTCAAGGCAGGCATTGGGTGGTCCACCAATACAAGCAATTTGTTGTCTATGTTTCCATTCAACAAGCTCTTCATTAATCAAAGCACTTTGTGTGTGCTCAGATATATTCAACAGATTTATTATTTTCGTCACCACTTCCTAAATGGAATATCAGATTCCTCTGTTTTAATTGTTATATTTTAAGTACATTTAATTGTTTGCTTTATCAATTAATGCTGCATCTCATAAAACTTTGCAAGGAACTCTAAATAACAGAAAATCTACTCTGTTAATATGAACTACTCTTTTTCCTCAACCTGAAGAGTACTTGCTTCACAAAGAGAAGCGAGAAAGGTCTACTAGCCCCACTGTCTTCTCTAAAGGGACTAACCTTGGGTCCCCACTTCTGCAATGACCTCTATGCAAATGGATCCTTGTGCCCACATAGACTCATTGCTAAATTGGGGCTTACAGTATTAAGAGACTTAGGACTAAGAAGGGTTTAAACAAACAAATAAGAACCCCAGCACTTTCTAGCATGACTAATGAAATATGACACATTTCCTTTCCTGTTATTGCACCAGTTTTAGCTGGTTAAATAAGTGTTCAAACTAGGCTCTTTTAGTAAGAAAAATCCTAAAACAGAAGTAGTGCAACTGCTTTAAAGGGCCCCCAATAACAATGCAAAGGGCAAAAGAACATTTAGACTAGTGTTAACAATAAAGGTTCTACTTTGTTTATATACACGGTTCTTTTATGTCCTGTGATAAGCCAATCCACAGAGAACAAATGTGCATATTTTCAAATTGAAGTATTGTGGAGCATCACCTTTCGTTTAAAGTCAAGTGTTAGAAACATCTTCTGGAGGACAAGTTGTTCTTTCTTATATTCATCCTGTGCCACTCCATTGGGCTCATTTTCTGTTAAAAAAAATAGAAATATTTGGGTAGGGATTGGGGGTTTTTTGTTTTTGCTTTTTAAAATTTTGTTACACATTCAGATTCTGCAGAGCTGGCAGCAGAGTCGGTACAAAGTGCTGAGGAGGCTAGTGGCTGGAAGGAAAAGCCCGGCATTCACCTCCTGTTCTGGCTACTTGTGAACTGCTGCCAGATTTCAAGGAGAAAACCACATCCTTTATTCTGTTCAAAGAGATTTGTTTAATTTAAAAGCTCACTAATACTCGATTACATTCACAACCAGATTTCAAGAAGCATTAGACAAGGGCATCACCAAAGTGACTCAACTAATCAGTGTCCAGAATATCCTATGCTGTTTAATATCTAGAAAGATATTCAAAAACTCCCCAGTTCTACTTCTGAACAAACATCCCAGTCCTACAATTCCTTACTCATGCCTATAGAACTTGTCAAGTGTTTCACCATCTTTGATAATGAAAGTTCAATTGAAAAGAATAGCTGCATTCAATTCTCTCTGGATGACTCTCATCGTCAGTTCAACACTTTGCATTTGCTAACACTAACCAACATACAATGCATCATTTGTTAAATAGTAACTTTGTTATTTAGAAGTCAACAGTTTTCAAAACATGCAAGATAACAAATCCTCATTAATGGCTAAAAAAAAAATCTCAGGCCACGTCTATACTATGTGGAAGATCAATACTATTCTGGTCAATCTTCCGGGATTTGATTTAGTGGGTCTAGTGAAGACTTACTATATCAAACTCGGAGGGTACTCCCTTCTGCAACGGTACTCCTGCTCCTCATGAGGAATAAGGGAAGCCGATGGGAGCATTTGCTCCCGTCGACCTCCTGCTGTGTGGAAGGCAATTTAAGATATAGTGACTCCAGTTATGTAATTAACGTAGCTGGAGTTGCATATCTTAAGTCAACCTTCTGCTCTAGAATAGACCACACTGCAGAGGGGTAGCTGTGTTAGTTAGTAACTTTAAAAACAAGTGGTCCTGTGACACCTTAGAGACTAATCAAAACACATAGAAGCATGAGCTTTTGTGGGCGCGCACCCACGCGCGCATCCCCCTCCAAAGTAGCCATTCTTCTACGAAGGAATTTCACTAACCAATTACAGAGAGAATCTGCAGAACTGGAATTTATCTACAGATTAGACATAATTTCCCTGGGCCTAAACAAAGACATAAACTAGTTAGTTGGTGAATTACCAAGCCAATTTCTCTTGCCATTAACATCTGCATTTCCACATCAAAAGTTACGTATGAGATGCATGCAGTCCACTTAATTAGCCTTATTAACAGAGGTCCTACAATTTACAGGTACTACTTCTGCTGTTACTTCTGCTCTTGGTTTCTGTTATTTCCACTCCAAATCATCTGATGAAGTGGGTTTTGCCCACTAAAGCTCATGATTCTATGTACTAATGGCTAAGTCACTTTCCAACTTTGGTCTTGAAAAATGAAGCCTTTTTAGAATCTTTCATGAACAGAACCAACAATATTAATCCCCCTACTCCCAATCGTACTGAAGTTAATGGCAAAACTCCTATTAACTTAAATAGTGCAGGATCAGGGTCTTTTTGGGGGGCAGAAGGAAAGAGGTGAGTTCCTTTAACTCTAAAACAGAAATTTGTATTTTTTCCAAACTTTAACACATTGGGGAGAAACTCCTTAGTAGAGAAAAAGAATATTTATCTCAAAATTAATAAGGTTATAAGGTAATTTCCTAATAAAAATACATTTGTATGTAGCAAATACACAATAGAAGGGAGAAGCCTAAACTTAGAGATTAGGTCTAAAGCTGAAATGTCTCAACATTCATGGGATTTTGGAGTTGGTACTTCTAGTGACAAAGCAAAGGGTAAAAGAACATGTAGACTAGTATTAACAAAGAAGTTTTCCAACTTTACATTACAGTGAGTATTATAAGGTAACCTATTTTCATGAGTTACAGATGAATTTTTGCATCATAAGAAGTCAGAAAAAACAAAATTCCTCCCACCATTTGCATCATCTCTGAATTCGGCTATTTCATAATCCTGATTTCTGGTACAAAAGAATGCTTTTCTGTACTGTACTTAAGATTTCTTATATGAATGAATCTCACCTCTGTTCTGTAAGGTTTTACATTTAAAGTCATATTCATCTTGTACATCCTCTAGTGTCTTGATGTCTTGTTCTATTTCCTACAAAGCAATAACATAATAAGACGCCATTAGTCAAGCAGCCTTAATCGTCTTAAACTTTTACTGATTGGCAATTATGTGGTACCAAGTACTTAGAGACAGCAAAAAGAAGATAGTAAGAAACATCCCCAAACTAATCACTGCCTTCTCTGACAATGGAAAATGCATTTATAACAAAATTGGGCTAAATTCTGATTTTGCATAATCCCTGCCCCCTCCCACTCCAAAGTCAATGAGTCAAGGAGAATTTGTACACTACGTGAAAGCAGAATTTGGCCAGTGAATGGCATTTTAAAGATGTTGGGACAAATCTTTGAGCCCTCACTCAGGAAAAAACTCAGGAAAGTCAGAGTGAGGACTATAGGATTTGTCCTACAGAAAACTGTCAATCAAGATTAAGAAGGTATTACGAAAAAAAAAAGGAAAGCTTTAGAGCCAGATGTGGGCGCTATACAAGCTGATGATCTAGCTTTTATTAGTGGACTATATATGATTTCTCAAAATATCTCCTTTCTTCTAACATGTCACTTAAGATTGTCAGTTATATAGGCATCTCCAACTCCTTTAAAAACTTTTTCTGCTGTGTTTGAAATTTGGGGAACTTTATTGTGGACATCCTGCATCTCACTACTATTGAGCAGTGATTAGGTAAAGTTTTTTAACACCTTCTGGTGGTAAAAAGCTGAAAAACAAACATACTGCTGAATTCATGATTACCCTCTCACAACATTGACAATGAAAATATTTTCCTGATATTAGAAACATAAATGTAGATCTCTGAGAAAAGTCTAGTGTCCCAGTTTTGCTTTTACTTACCACAACACTGTTCTTTACACTTCTGACTTTCATATCAAGCTCCTTCTGTTTGTCCAGCATTACAGTATTCTGTATGTTTCCTACCTGCATCTACCGTAGAGAGCAGAACAAAAACAAATATTATCGTGGTTTTTTTTTGTTGTTGTTTTGACTAACACAAGCTGCCATATATTTGGTGCCTCTAACAAAGCACACTTCATTCTGATAGTTCATGACCCAATTATTTTTTAACTATAGGTATAAAACAATTAGGTTTAAATTACTGAAAATAGAGGAAGGCTGTAATAAGGAAAGGGATTAGAATGTGACACATTGCCTTTTGGGTGACACGTACTTTATATAATTTCTTAATATACTTTACCTGTGATTTGGTTTTGGCAAGCAATAATTTTATCATTTTTGTATGTTTTTCTGACAATATAAAGAAATGTAATATCTAAGAAGGCTGGATTTTTTTAATAAAGAGTTGGTACCAATATTAGACATGTACAGGAAACTGTAAATTAGTGTACAATTTAATTTTTGCACAGCTACAATACAAAGCAAGTTATCTTAGGTGGCTGTAATCCTCTGAAACTGAATCTAATAACATAATTTAAGGAGTTAATATACCTAAAAGCCAGGACATTTAAAAGAAGAGCAGTACACTATTACGTGTATTGCATATAGCGAGATGCTTCAGTGTCGGTGGTTTTTACATAAAATGTGCTCTAAGAACTACTAATTTGTGCAGTTAAACTGTTAAATACCAAGTTTCCAATAAGTGTATGATTCCATAAACTTGTCAAAAAGTCCCTTTTAAGTTAGACCATTAAAGTTACCTAGTTATTGTTTCTGTGATTTGAAATATGGTAAGGGACTTTCCTGTATGCTTGGGATGTTTACAGTTTGGCTTTATGACTTTGAGCTCTTTGTATGTTATCACAATGACTTCCTACCTCTATATAACTTACAGGCCAAAACTGGCCCATTCCACTACGTTGTAATAACAAGTACTTAGTTGTGATGAATCCGTAACCTATTACTATATAATATCTAAGGAGCTACATTTTGCAGTATGCACTTTGCACCAACTGTGTTGAGGTGTGTTTTTAAAAATATTTATTAACAAAATAAGTAGCTAGTCCCAGAAAAAATAGAAATAAAACAAGATCTACTGTAACAGATGAAGAAGGGAATACTCTAGTTCCTTTAAATTGTTTAACTGTTTAGTGGGCAGAGAAGGGCTCCACTGAATAAACAGGATGGTAAAGAAATATTTAGAGAACAAATGGAAAAACAAGACTGTTGCATCAAGATCACAGAGGGAAGCTACAAAAAGTAGGAAGGATCAGATAGTCACCACAAGGCAGGTAAGGGTACACTGCAGAAAGGAAGTAAGCTAAAATCCCGCCAACATTAAAGCACTGAAAATGCAAAGGCAGGTGCTCTACCTGAGTCATAATAAAAACTAATAAGGTTGTTTAAACATTCTCCTTACCATAGCAATCATATAACTCCTACGTTTAACCTAACTGAAATTAAACGTGAGCAGGCTAGTAAAATCCACTTTAGACACGTTAACGTGCTGGTTTCTTTTCATAAGTATCATCTATCTCTGGACTACAAAAGCAGCTAAGGCCTTGAATTCCCTCATAGGGAGAAAGCTGACTTCCTTTTTCTTTAAACTATACCTGGGCAAACAAACAATTTTAAAACAAGCCACAGCTTGTGCGGTGGATGTTTGTGATAGACCAGATCAAGCTTCCTCTTAAATAGGTGAAGGGTGGTTCTGCTTTCAGTCTGTTATTCTGTTTTGGAGGCTATAAACTACTAGAGAGAGAGAAGAAATTACCTGGTCTGACAACTGGGCGCTGCTCAATATTTTCCTTTCCTCCTTCAGACAATTGTAGATTGTCATTGCCATTTGTATTGGGTCTTCTTGAAAATGATCCTGGTTTGATAGCATTAGAAACAGTTCATTAATAGCATGCACCAATCACACCAGTTTTCACATCTGATAAAGCCAACAGGCAAAAAGCTTAGCATGTATCCGCTGTTTGTGAGCCAAGATATGGCGTGAAGATGTATTGCCTCAGCAGGAGCTACTGGGTCACACACAGCATCCCTAGAAGTTCAGGAGACATGTCTGCTGTGTCACCAGGATTGCAGAATCCAAAACCCTTTCATCCTCTTCAAGCGCCACTCACCACCCACTTTCAGGAAGTTTAGTTCAGTTGTAGATTAGGGATATAAAATCCCATTTTAATCTGTTAACCAATTAAATGTGAAGTTTAACTGGTTAATCAATTAAGGGTGGGGCTGGAGTGCCTCTTCCTCCCCCTGCCATGGCCAGTTAACTGGAACTGGTAAGCGTTACCCATTAAGGATGATGTTTACCGGTTAATACAGATGTTAGCGTGTAATTGAACAGTCATGTAACTGCATCAAATTTTAGTAGTTACACAACTATTTGATAGCCTCTGGAGGCAGGGCTGGCAGCCAGTGAGCTCCCAGCCCCACTCCCAGGGAGTCCCCCACCAGTCAGTTCTGTGGCAGGGGGAGGCGGGGTGAGAGGGGAGCCAGGTTAAAAACCAGCTCCCAGCATAGATTGGGTCCCGGTACCCAGA